TATATATATATATATAATTTTGCTGAGCTCAAACACCTCATGTCAACTTGACAATCTTCTAGCTACTCCTTACACTTTGTTAGTTAGTCACTTATTTTTTCAGCACAGTCAATTTGGGAAATTTGTTGTATTATTATAAATAATACTGGAAAGATAATAACAGTGTAGTTGATAACTACAAACAGTATCCTTAGAGTTCTATACATTATTAAACCCAAGAGCAATACATAAATCAGGCACATATGTACCTCCTATATATAATGCATGTGTAGAGTATGTATGCTGTAGGTACCAAGTATGTAAAGTGTAAAGACATTATAACTAATCACTTCATAATACTGTCCAGACCCTGAAAGTACCTAGTACTTGTACATAGCAGATATGTTCTCAGTTAGTTCCCAGTATGTATCCTGTAAGTACCAGATAGCCAAGTCAAAAGTTCTTTACTTTTCCATGAGTAACTTCATTTTACGTTCACATGAAGTTGAGCCATGTTCAACATCTTCAGTGTGATTCTTTTCAAGAAATGCTTTTATGAATATATTTGTTCTGTTAAAGCAAAAGCTCTAATTTTTTTGTTTGTTTGTATTTTTTAAGCAAACCTTGCTCTTGACAAGCTTTCTGATCAAAGTATTATTTTGACAGGAAGCTTTTATTTGCAGTGATAGCTGTAGGCATAAAGAAGGGCTGCAGACAGATGCTGTTTGTTGTCAAAGACAGATGCTGACCTTTAGAGCTGAGCACAGGTAATAGCATCAACTGAGCAGTAGATCTGTGAGCGTCTTCTGCTCAGGCCTGATGCTGTGTCTGCAGCCTGACAGGAAGGATGTGCTTGGACAGGCAAGCATGGCTCAAGTAGGGTAAGACAAAATAAACTGTTTAAACTTATATAAACCTTGTTGGCTTCAATAAGGCTTTGTGGGATTTTGGAGGAGTGAGTAAAGAAAGTAAAGATGATGAAAGAAGGAGGGAGCTTAGGTCAAAGACCAGAAAGATATTTTCACAGCTGTGGACTCCTGCAGAGAGTGCAGCTATGAGATCATTTGTCTGAGTTTGCTGTTTATGACATGACTGCTCCAATGCTCTGCACGTATCTACCTTAGAAAGGTCAAAACATTGTTGAAGTACATACAAAGGATTTAGAAATAAAACATAAGTAAAAGTGAAGGTTGGATTAATTACCTAAATATATTAAGTGCACAAAACCCTTACAGTAATACAAGTAAATATAATTTGTGACTTTTCACCTCTGAATATTGATAATAGACCAGTTCCAACTCAAAGTAGAACAGCCCAGCATTTCAGTCCAACACACACACACGCACGCACGCACACACACACACACACACACACACAGCTCTGTATACACAGAAAGACTGTGTGACTTGCTAACTGGTGTTGCGTCAGCATACTTCCACTTACTGTTTATTTTTACAATCTGTTTTATGTATTTCCTGGAACTCCTTAAAAAGTCTTATCTTCATGTCCTAGCAATGGTTGTGAGTTTGGAGTAGAATAAGTTTGTCAGGTACACAGTCTCATCTGCAGCCTGTACTCTGTCCTGCTGTGGAATAAAGACCTTTGCAGCGAAGAGAGGAAAAGTACTGGGAGCTGTTTGGTTTTGTTCAAACAGGAGTTCATCAACTGAAACAAATTAATTGTTCTGTTTGCCACGTTGGCAGCACTGGTAGAGCTGCTGCCTCTCAGCGACCAGGTCCCTGGTTCAAATCCCGGTTCAGGGGCCTTTCTGGGTGGAGTTTGCATGCTCTCTCCGTGCATGCGCGGGTGTTCTCCGGTTTCCTCCCACAGACCAAAAACATGCATGTTAGGCTGATTGGTAACTCTAAATTGTCCCTAGGTGTGAGTGAGAGAGTGAATGTTTGTTTGTCTCTGTGTTTCCCTGTGACGGACTGGAGACCTGTCCAGGCTGTACCCCCCGCCCCTCGCACAGTGATTGCTGGACATGGGCACCGGCGACCCCTGTGACCCAAAATGGAAGAAGCAGTTAAAAGATAATGGATGGATGTTTGCCAAGTTTCCATTTCAAAATGTGAATTTAAAGAACTACCCAGTATTTGTTACAAGTACATTTTTAAGAATATACTGTATGTGTACAGGTTTTTTTCTTAGAAACTTTTTAATTCCCCTCCTTTGTTTATTTACATTAGTGAAGCAAGAGGTTTAGCTGTGCCTTTATATAATGATGATGATGATGATAATAATAATAATAATAATGGGAAAATTAAAAGAACAATGAAGGGAACTCCTTTAGAAAGACTCAGAAAATGATTAAATCATTGTTAAAACTTTAAAATCTGTGTGCAGTTGCATCTTTCCTTCATCTGGTGCCTCCTGCAGAGGTCGCCACAGCGAGCAAACTCACATGGACAATTTGGGAATTGCTATTTGCCAGAAGCTCTTTCTGATGAGTTCAAACCCACAGCTTTAGGATAAGACAGCGGCACTGACCACTGCACTACCGTGCCTCAAACTGTTTGCTGTTAAACGGCCATTTTAGATGCATGTTATCCAGAAGTGCTGTGGGCGATCAGATTAAAGAAAATAAAACCAGGGTACAATGTGAGGAAACGTTGTAGCATCAGTGCATACATCAGCTTTATGGTTAAATTGGAACAAATTCTAGCAGGAACTTTTGATAAACAGCAAAAATATTGGAAATTTTATTGCCTGTGGAGTTTTGGTGTCTGTATAATATTTTTCTTTTTTATATTGCCTTGAAATTACACTGAATTGAAATGGATTGAATACACTATATTATAGCATTAAGCAGAACGTATAGATCTACAGATCTAGATAGGTCTATAGATCATAGATACATAGCAGCCGAGTGCTGCATAGCTTTATGCTGCACTGCGGTAAGCCTCTGCATTGTGCATCGGTGTGCATGTCCAGGTTCATGTATGTTACATGTGATTGGATTAGGTTCTGACAGGGCTTGCCTGGGGTCAGTGAGTCATATACTCTCTAGATGGTGAGTTTGTATGGAAGGCTGGATGTGTAGTCGTATTCTGCTGTTTATTCTGCTCTGTGTGCCTCCTCACATGATCGGCAGGTCAGCTGGTTTTTGATTTGTTCTGGAAGAGTTTCTCTTTGGTTCTTGGGCCAGAAGTGATCTCCCTCTGTCCTTCTGCTCTACCAGCTTTACAGGAGCAAATGTCTTACAGCAGGAAAAAAGAGCTTAAAAGCATAAATGCACATATTTAAGGCAATAATGAATTTTAATCCTTATCTTTCATATGATGCCAGACACTAAACTGTATATTTTCTTGTCTGTTTGCAGGTTTGAGTGCAGCTAAGCTGCTAAAAGCCAGCGGGCTGAACCCTGTGGTGCTGGAGGCCAGAGATCGAGTGGGTGGTCGCACCTTCACTGTGCGGGTAAGACCGGCGTGTGTAACATTACCTGAGACATGCTGCAGTTAGTGTTATGCTGTTAGGGATGCACCGATCCACTTTTTTTTTTTTTCTTTTTTTTTTTTTCCACTTCTGATCCGATACCGATACCTGTGTTTTAGCGTCTGTCTATACCGATCCGATACCGATCTAATACAGATAATCATTGCTGAATTAACAAAAATGGCTAAATCATGTCATCTGGACCCGTTTCTGAAACAGGTCCAGATGACATGATTTAGCCATTTTTGTTGTCTACCTGCATGTTTGAGCTTACAAACCCAGTGCTGAATTAACTTAAAACATTTGTTTTATTAAACGCAGACATGAATGTACTGAATTACAAATTTATTGAAAACTCTGCACCATAGCAGCACTTAAACACACCAAGAGCTTCACAAGCGTGGTCAAATGTAAAACAACACATCTTCAACTTGTTCAGTCAGTACACTAGCACGTGACGTCACTCAGAGCACAAAACATCAAATTAGAGTGAATAGTTCTGCCCAGTCATGGATCGGTCACGTTGTCATGATACCTGATCCAGAAGTTTTTCTGATATTGGTACCAATATCGGTATCGGATCGGTGCATCTCTATATGCTGTAGCTTTAACAGTACCATAACAACATTTAGCGTTTTTGGTATCTAGCACTTTTTTGCTCAGTCTAAAAAAAACCTACTCAAAATTTATTTTGAATAAGCAGGAAGTCATTCCTTTATTACAATATCTAAGTAGTGACTGCAGCATCTTCTACGTGATAATATTAATAGATGTTATACAGACGTAATACTCTAGTAATGTGACTATACTTTGGGAGTGGTGGCGCAGAGGTTAGAGAAGGTGGGCCTGTGATCGGAAGATCACCGGTTCAAGCCCCGGTACCAACAACATCAAAAATGTGGGTGGGGTAAGTGAAGCACCCACACCTGCCCCCACCCTCATTCGCCCCACTCTGGGCCCTTGAGCAAGGCCCTTAACCCCCACCATGTGCTCCCTAAACAGGTCTCTCTTGAAAATGAGTTCTTGTGGCTCAATGAGACTACCTGGATAAATAAATAAATAAAAATACTGACTTACTTTTAGTTTTTAATATTGTTAAAATTAAACAATAGATTTTTTCCTAAACAACAACATTGTTTAGGTTCAGAAATCATGTGGATGTGCTCACTGTTGTTGAATGAGTCAGAAAGGAAGGCTACATCAGTCAAAATCAATTGTAATAAAACTGTAAATCTTTGTTCTTTATAAAATAAAGAAGTCAGATGCTCCTTATGCAGCTGAAAGAGAAAGACTTTGTAAACTAAAAACAAACAACAAAAAACAAACAAACAAGCAAACAAAAAAACTTGCTTAAAAGCGGCATGTGCTAAAACAATCATTTCATTTGTATGCATTATTTAGTTTTATATTTTATTTACATTTCTAAAATCTACTGTTTGTTCATAGCTATTTACAAATTTTGATTGATCTGGTCATCTTTTGCAGAGCCAGACCTTTTATTTATTTTTTTATTTTTTTTACGTAATAGTTGATCAGGTTACCAATAGTGACATTTAGATAAATTTAGTTATCGTCTGCATAGAAGTGAAGAATATGTACTGGTTGAAAATTTTGTGTCAGTAAAAAAAAAGAAAGAGAATATAATGTAGACAAAAATAGTCATTTGATCTTTCACATAAAGGGGTTCTTTTAGTAATGATGTCACAAAAACGGTTCCACCCCAGGAAGAAGTTTTTTTTTGTTGAGAACTTTGCGATCAAGTGTTTTAAAAGCTACACTTTTCCAACAACAGCACACGTCTATGAGCATTTTATGCAATATGTTCTTCACCTTATTAGTGTTTGACCAATTTTGTTTGTTTTTCTCAGAACAAGGAGACAAAATGGGTCGATCTGGGTGGGGCCTATATCGGACCAACTCAGAACCGCATCCTTCGGTTGGCCAAAGAGTACGGTGTAAAGACCTACAAAGTCAACGAGCAGGAAAACCTCGTACATTATGTCAATGTGAGTGCCCTGTACCTGCTACGGTCTCTGTTAATGTGTCTGTTCAGCATGACTCATGGTTCAGTTGTGTTTATTTTATGTTTTGCATTATTACTGATGTTCAGCAGAACAAAATGCAACAAATGCTCAAAATCTGCCCCATTATTAGACATTAGACAGGAAATTTATGTTAGTGTTTATGCGCCACGGGACAGCTTGGACAGCATGGAAGGATTTATTATTTAATTACATTTAATCTGCAATGAGTCTTTCATCAACTGTACTTACGTGAAACCTAACTTTATTTCATAAGAAAATGGTTGTTTAATTGAACGGTTAATGAATGTTTAATGCTATTAGAACACGACTTGAATGTCTTCTTTTATTAAGTTAAACACCAGAATTATCATGGTTTTTCAGCTTATGCTGTGTGCACTATTAGATCAGTCCATTGATGAGCGCAAACTTGGTTAAACTATATTTTAAGACAATTTATTTATATATTTCATAAACAGTACTTTTTATATATTTGAAATCTCCACGTGCCTCAAGAATTTTCAAATATAATAATATGACTATATTTAAAATACGTGAGGTGATTATTATTATTATTATTATTATTATTATATGAACTGATTGGACCTTCAAATTTGAAGACTTAAAAGCGTATTTTTGTGTTTTTGAAGAAGCAAAGTGTAAAACAAAAATTAATCTCAGATTTTTCTGCAGTTGTGTTACACACATTCCCTTCAAAGTAAAAGTTTTTTTCTATGATGAGTGGAGCCTTCACCACACCAAAAAGTTTGACATATTCAAAATATGGCAATAAGGAGGTTAGTTGGAAAAACCTAAAAGCATCACTATTGAAAGGTTGTGCACTTTCTCACAGTACCACTGCTTCATTCACACGTTGGGTCACAGTCTTCAAGAACTTTTGCTGTAAGAGGTCTGGAGAAGCAAGTTACGATATTTATGTTGTCTCACTTGCAACTCTTTGAAACTTCTTTGAAAAGTTATAGTTTCTATTCAGGCGTTAAATGGATTTTACTTAATTTTTTCTTCACTATAAACAAAATCCATCCATCCATCATCTTCTGCTTGTGCTGGTCAGGTCTCGGGGCAGCAGCTTGAGCAGGAAGCTCCAGACATCTCTTTCCACAGCCACCTCTTCCAGCTCCTCTGGGAGGACCCCAAGACATTCCCAGGCCAACTGAAACATAGTCTTTCCAGTGTGTCCTGGATCTTCCCCGGGGTCTCCTCCCAGTTGGACATGCCCAAAGCACCTCCCTGGGGAGGCGCCCATGAATCATTCTTACCAGATGCCTGAACTCAACTGGCTCCTCTCGATGTGGAGGCGTAGCGGTTCTACTCTGAGTCTCTCCTGATAACTGAACTTCTCACCCTGTCTCTAACGGAGAGTCCAGTTACCCTGCAGAGGAAACTCATTTCAACCGCCTGTATCCATGATCTCATTCTTTCAGTCACTACCCAGAGTTCATGACCATGAGGGTAGGAGCGTAGACCGTCCTGTAAACAGAGAGCTTCACCTTACAGCTCAGCTCCCTCTTCACCACAACGGACCGGTACAGAGTCTGTAATGCTGAAGACGCTGCACCAATCTGTCTGTCAATCTCACGCTCCATTCTTCCCTCACTTTTGAACAAAACCATGAGATAGTTGAACTCCTCCACTTGAGGCAGAACTTCACCCTCCACCTAAAGAGAGCAATCCACCCTTTTCTAACTGAGGACCATGACCTCAGATTTGGAGGTGCTGATTCTCATCCCAGCCGCTTCACACTCAGCTGTGAGCCTCTCCAAGGAGAGCTGAAGATCACAGCACAATGATGCCAACAGAACCACACCATCTGCAAATAGCAAAGCTGGAATCCCTCCGCCCCCTGGCTGCACCAAGAAATTCTGTCCATAAAAGTTGTGAACAGAATCGGTGACAACGGGCAGCCCTGGCGGAGTCCAACTCCCACTTTGAAGGGATTCGACTTCCTATCAGCAATGTGAACCAAACTCTTGCACCGCTTGTTTAGGGACTGAACAGCCTGTAACAACAATCCCATCCTCATGGAGCACTTCACTTTAAACAAAACAAACTGGTAAATGAAACATAGATAGAAACATGAGCAGCCAGTCACACGTCATGTCTTGTTATCTCAGTGATAACAAAACATTTTTTCTGGATCAGTTTCATATGCTTAAAGTTTGCATTAAAATGAACTAATAATAGGATGTGGCAGTTTAAATTGAATCCCTGTAAGAGAAAGATTATTTTGAATAGCTACATTTTCACAACCATTGGTGACAGTAGTGCTGAAAGCACCAGTGGAAACATCACGTCTTCCCTGGATCCAACCTAATGCATATCAAGCAGCCAGCCGCCCTCTCCTTTCCAACATGAGACTTTTACTGCTTCGTCGTTAGTGACTGGAGATGCTAATCTTCGCCTGAGGGATTCTTCTAATTCAGTTTCTCTTTGTTTCTGAGTAGATGAAAGGCAAACAAATAGATACCAAGGCCATCTTTTTTTGTTCTCCTTAGCCATTGCTCCATATCTCATTAACATAGGTGCACCACTGCCCTTAACTTAGTTGTGTTCCTCCTCCTGATTCAATTTGCCTTTACTGCCTTGTACCCTGGCCAAGATGCACCAGCTGTAAATCCATAAACTGCACTGGAGTAGTGTGACTGGCGGCCCTCTGTGTGCTGCTGGAGGCAGCTTATCTCCTCTCAGGCTGTGTTTCAATCAGAACTTTAGAGGTGGACTTTGAGCTTCTGTCCTGTGGGTGTGGTCACCCCCCCCCCCCCCCCACACACACACACACACACACACAGAGTTAGCAAACACACTTTTGCTGTTTTACCTGGAAAGTTCTACTAATGTCTACCTCCCAATTCAATTAAACTCTTAGGACATGTCGGAGGGAGGATTTGAAAGTCTACTATTTGCTTGGTTGTTGTCTTCATTTTAACTGCAGTGTTTAAACTTAAAAATGAAGAGCACTTTTGATTTAATATGAAGCAAATCATTGTGTTTTAGTCCAGTGGTGCTTCAGATATTATCTATGCTGCGTGCATAAATATTTATGTACTCCGAGTCAAATTTATGTGACATGTTGCTAAAAACACAATATTCTATCTTTTTAAATTTCCTCTACATTTCCTTCTACTGAACTGCAGTGAAGCACGGTCTGACTTACCCCAGCAGAGCCCTGACAGGTCATCAGCATGACACTGGGCCCAGGCAGCAGTAGGAAAATAAATCTGGCCGGCTGTAGTGAACATGAGCTCCTGTGTTTGTCTCCTTGGATATTATCTCTGTAAGATAGAAGATGTGTGTAGGACCCGTAGCTTCCCGGCTGGTTACCATGGCAGCATGCCTCATCAAAGCTGCTAGCCACCATCACCGTCAGTGGCTGGTTGTGAAAGCTGCATATGTGTATTTTCCTGCACTTGTGCATACAGATGTGTGCAGAGGTGAAATGTTAATTGTGTGAATCCAACAGTTAACAAGAACATGATGAGAGTCTGAACCGTGCTAGACATTTTTTCCATAATGGTAGTGTGCGTGTAGTTTTTTATGATCAGTAAAAGTCTCAGAAAAAAAAAAACACATAATTTTTATGCTACTAGTAAAATACCACCATCATGTTTGTCATGGTTCTGTTCAGTTTTTATTTTTGTTATCTACATCACAATGAGTCATAAACACTTACCAGTGCACATAAAAAGTCTCCCTTCACACAGGAAGACAACCTCACTAATTTAAAAATCAGCCTGAACATGAAGTGTCTTAAAGTCTTGTCAAGGTTTTCAGGGGTGTATTAGGAGTTCAGTGGGTCTTGAGGCCTCAGTCCACAACTTTCATTAAAAGGTTGTGGTGGTTTATTATTGTTGTGGCAGAGTATTGGAGTACTGTGGCTTGGAGACTGTGGTGGCAGTGTTTGATATGGGATTATGTATCCTAATGTTTCAACCGCCACAATAAAAATGTGATCTGGACAATTTCCTTCAACCTGCGCAAAATGGTCCAAATTTGGTGCAGAAAAACTGCTCCATGCTTTTTCACTTTCAACCTGGGCTAGTGTAATCCTTTTATAGCAGTATGCCACCGACACTATTTATAGTGGAGGTGGTGTGCTGCTGACTTCAACTCAGGATGTCGTGGGTCGGTGGGCAGAATACTTCGAAGACCTCCTCAATTTCACCGGCACGTCTTCCACTTAGGAAACGGAGCCTGGGGACTTTGGGTTGGGCCCTCCAATCTCTGGTGCTGAGGTCACCGAGGTTGTTAAAAAGTTCCTCGGTGGCAGGGCCCCAGGGGTGGATGATATTCGCTCGGAGTTCCTTAAGGCTCTGGATGTTGTGGGGTTGTATTAGCTTACACGACTCTGCAATATTGCGAGGACATCAGAGGCAGCTCCCCTGGTTTGACAGACTGGGGTGGTGGTCCCCCTATTCAAAAAAGGGGACCATAGAGTGTGTTCCAACTACAGGGGGGATCACACTCTTAAGCCTCTCTGGTAAGGTCTATTCAGGGGTTCTGGAGAGGAGGGTCCGTTGGAAAGTCGAACCTCGGATTCAGGAGGAGCACTGCGGTTTTTGTCCTGGTTGTGGAACACTGGACCAGTTCTACACCCTCAGCAGGGTCCTGGAGGTTGCGTGGGAGTTTGCCCAACCAGTCTACATGTGCTTTGTGGACTTGGAGAAGGCATTCGACCGCGTCCCTCGGGGAGCCCTGTGGGGGGTACTCCAGGAATATGGGGTACCAGGCTCTTTGATACTGGCTGTCCCTGTACGACTGGTGTCAGAGCTTGGTCCGCATTGCCGGCAGTAAGTCGGCTTGTTCCCAGTAAGAGTTGGACTCCACCAAGGTTGTCCTTTGTCACTGATTCTGTTCATAAGTTATATGGACAGAATTTCTAGGCGCAGCTAAGGTGTTGAGGGGATCCATTTTGGTGGCCTTAGGATCGCTTCTCTGTTTTTTGCAGATGATGTGGTCCTGTTGGC